GACTAATTTTATGATGGATGAATGATTTTAGTACTTCAGCTTTGATTTATTTCAGTTAGTTGCCAATATTCATTAAAATTAGTTTTATTGTGTTTTCAATTTTTTTTTTAAATTTTCAATTTAGTAATTTAAAGATTGATGAATGATTTTAGCACTTTAGCTGAAATATATTTCATATTCACTTAAATTAGTTTGAATTTGTACGTTTTTTAAGTTCAATATTTTTTATTTTTCTGTTTTAATATTTAAGTTTGGTAATTTTATGTTTTGTCATTTTTATTCGTTTTTTATATTTCTATAAAGCTTTAATTTTTATTTCCATTTTAATTTCAATAATTTTAGGATGGATGGATGGTTTTAGTACTTCAACTTATTTTAGTTTTTGTTTAAATTAATTCTAATTTTTGTTTACGAAAGTTTATGCCTTTCAAAGTTTTTTTTTTTCAAATTTTCAAATTTTCCATTTATATTTTATTTTATTTCAGCTTTCTTTCAATTACCAAAAATAATTTTTAATAGCTTTAGTGTTGGTTAACAATAACAACACTGTTTCATATAAGAGCGGGTCACATTTTACATAAATGTGATGTAAGGAATAAAAAAGCTGTTCCATTATATCCTGGGCAAGCATACAATATGTGTTTTTCCTAAATCATTTCATGTTACCAACCTGAAGTACTTCAATGTTGTCTGGGACACACCAACGATTACACACAACAATGGCAATCTGGCATCAAGCTCACCTCACTAATTCCTGAGCTGGTCTGAGTGACTGGATCAGGTGTAAACAGGTCAGATAAACCACACACTGTCAGAGCAGTGCATTATCTCAGATTTCTGTTCAACTGTGGCATGATCCATGTGCACAGTCAGTACTAGAGGCCTGAGCTCTTCTTGAACAAAACAGACTTGTTCAAATAATCTCTTAATGAGGGCTTAACCATATGCAACGCATGTTCATGCGGCAAAGTTTATTGATTTATTACTCTGACGCCATTATCTCGGGACACATCCTACAGCAGAGGAAACGCAGCGATTACAAATGAGCCAAAGAGCTTTTTGTGAAAAGTTTTACACTATTACATCTCAGAAACTTTTTATATTCAGTGAAACGTTCCAATTTGTGCTTTAATTTGCAACTAACTCTATGCATCAGGAATGGCAGGCCTTTAGATTCAGTGGCTTGAAATCTGAAATCTGAGGCCACTAGTTCAAATACTAATGGACAACAAAGACTGCAGTTTTCATCTCAAGTAAGCATTTAGGGGATTATCCCTAAATGTCTG